GTATTAGCCCTAAGAATATTTATTACTCCTTGGAGACCTCACCTGTTTTCTTCCTCACACACTGCTGGCTGCTGCCTCTCACTAATCAGTGACATTCTGCACTGATTTCCTCCACTTTTTTAAAAGGTACATTCAGTTGACGTCCACCTAAATGGGTCATATGAAAACTCTGTCACCTGAATGAGAGGTGACCAACGTTGACAAGTTATGAGGAAAGGTCCAGGAATATCTGAAAGGCAGATTTCAGCTTGGCATATTCCAGGTCATGCAGTAGAGAATGAATTGGAAACAGCCGTCACGCAGACCCAAACTCCGCTCTGGCTTCCTCCGAGGCAGAGCCAACGCTGTACGATTGTTTGCATATTTTCAGTCACAGTTTGTGCAGCAGGGGATTTGAGGGTTTTCTTTGTCAAGCTGTTATATTCCTCAAACTAGACACAGTGATTTGCTAGTGTGACCCCTGCGTGCCTTAAGCTGTCCAGATCCTGACCTTCTTGTGTTTACTTTGCATTGCGGTGCGTCCGATTACAGAGTATCCTGCGGTCTTCCTGCGCAGCCAGAGCCAGTTTGGTCTGATGTGTAACATGTTGTCCCGCTGTTCTTTTTCCACTGTTTCGTTTGTTAAATATCACAGTTGTAAACGCATTGTTTGGTTCAAGATGGCTTTTAGTGCTCCTAGACACAAATATTTGGCGGCACAATGTATTTAATTCTGTCCGGCAGCACCCCACCAAGCCCCCGTTAAAACACTAAACCAGTTTATTCAGGTCGAGTGGGGTTCTTTCGACTCCCTCGTGGGCTCCACAGAAGAATGTGTGTTAGTATTAAATAAGCAGGGACGCCAGATTATTTGTTCCAAAATACTTGTAAATCATTGCATTACCCAAGCCTGTTCATGGATCAAAGCCCTGAGCATTTTCCCCCTTGTCCCCTGACACAATTCAGACAGGTTTTATGAGACATGGTGAATCCCTCTGGCACTGGAGGCCTCTGATCTCTCTGAGTTAAAGACCTACATTCCCTCGACTAAGACTGCACCAGGGCCCCTTTAGCATACTGGTCAGATGTATGACGGGTTCTACTGCAGGGGACGGCCCCACTGACTCCGGCTTTTGTTTCACCATTAGCCACTGACCTCCTCCTTAAATGCTAATTGCTGTGAAAGTAAGGCATAATTGTTTTTTTGTGTATGTACTAGTAGATAAGTGCATATGCATGTGAGTATGCAGAATGATTCATACCGTGTTATGCAAAAAGTTTGGGCACCACTGGTCAGAATTTCTGTTACTGTGAATAGTGAAGTGAGGAGAAGATGAACTGATCTCCAAAAGGCATAAAGTTAAAAATGAAACATTCAACATTTTAAGCAAGATTAATGTGTTATTTTGTCTTTGTACAATTTTAGAGTGAAAAAAGAAAAGGAGCACCGTGCAAAAATTTGGGCACACCAAGAGATTTTAGCTCTCAGACAACTTTTACCAAGATCTCAGACCGTATCCTCTTACGCTGCTTGGAACCACCGGTGGTTCCAAAACGTTTTGTCAAATTCTTCAGAACTTTCATATTTCATAAGCTACATTCTAAAGCTGGGTGTCATATGAGAGCTGTAACTGTCTTCTTTCCAGTCAAATAGATGGGTGATGTCATTTTAAACCTTTATAATAGAAGAAGCTGAACTCTCAATTTTTTTTGTCTACTGAAAGTCGACCCATTTTTCCACAAATCTGGGCTATAAACTTCTGTGATCTGCTCTGTAAAAATTATTTTTATAAAATAATACAAAGAGCGTCTAAGATTTTTGGCTTTGGTGAGATTGGAGGAAAAGGGTGCAGAATTTAATGAAAGAACACCTCTCCAACACTTAAGCACAGGGGTGGACCGATCATGCTTTGGGCTAGTGTTGCAGCCAGTGGCTTGGGGAACATTAGAGTGAAAAAAATGGATTCAAATAAATACCAGCAAATTCTGGAAGTGGCCATCTCACAGTCTGTAAAAAAGCTGAGGATAAAAAGAGGATGGCTACTACAACAGGATAATGATCCTAAACACACCACAAAATCCACAATGGACTGTCTCACTGAAGGTTTTGCCCTAAACATCATCATATATCTGTGCATAGATCTCAAAAGAGAAGTGCCTGCAGGTTGGCCCAAGAATCTCACAGAACTACAAATCTTTTGAAAATCCCCCAAACAAGAATTGAGACACTTTTTTCTAGCAAAAACCATACAGTAATACTTGCCAAAGGTGGTGTTACTAAGTACTTTTACTTTTCTTTTTATTTTAAATCTGTAAAAGATGGGAATAAAAAGTCATATTGTTGAAAATATTCAAGAAGTCTGTCATCTTTATGCCTTTTAAAAAAATGTCATCTTTTACTCGTCTAGTTATTCACAGTACCAGAAAGGGGTGCCCAAACTTTTGCATTCTACTGTAGATATTACATCTTTAGACTTGCTGTATCCCTCCGTCCTGATTATTTGGTAAGCAACACAGCAGCACATTCTCAACCTCTCCCTTCTCCCCTAGTCTAACAGCATGGCTATGTAGCTGGAGCAGGTCACCTTGACTCCATCACATCTCTAGCAAGAAAACAGACTACATAAGCTCACACAAACCCATCACGTTCAGGCTTCCACTCCATCATCCTCCAGATAGCACCCATGTGATGAAGACAAATATTACAGAGCTGGCTGGCTGGATCTCCTGGTGTGCAGCTAGAAAAACAAGTCTTTCTCCTTCCCGGATTTCTTAACAACTTCCCTTTCAATTCATCTTCAAATTGTGACCTTTGGAAACAGTGTCTAGACACCACAATCTGTCTTGATCTTCTGAATCTATTATCCTTAGCATGGCCAGCTTGAGTCAACTTGAGTCGGCCTGCAGTGTGAGTTCCAGAGCCAGCATCTCACTTCTACGGGGACGTCTGAAGCAGTGTTCCAAAAAGCAAGGCTGCAGCCGAGATGGATGGGTCCTTTACAGGGCTTATGAAGGCTCCTTGTTTGTATCATGTAATGCCAAACAGAAGAGTCTACCAAGGCCTCTCTGTCTTCGTCTTTGGAAAAAATTTGCGTGAAATTTGATGAAGTATACACTTTTGATGTGAGTGATAGTCGGGGGGCAAGCAAAACATTAGCGTGAGCGATGCAATGTGGAAGGCAGAACATAAATTTATTTGTTAGAAATGCTGTCCAGCAAGATAAAAACCATTTAAGTCACTGAAAGCAGGGTTTCATAACCTTTTGTTCAGTTTACATAAGTTCAGATAAACTAAAAAAAATAACTGTGTATTTTGCTATGCATTAACTTTTTTAAGCAGTGTTTAGTAGTTGGTTTCATCTGCCAGCAGTTCTTTAGAACGTTATTCAGGTCAGACTTGCGTGCAAAGGATTATATATGACAGAAGACCGTGAAGGATACTCCGGTGCGGTCCTTAACCTCTTTAACTCTGTGGAACCACCAGTGGTTCCAAAACGAACTTCGTCTTATTCTTTCCTTCATAACTTTCATATTTGGGTGCCATATGAGAGCTGTAACTGTCTTCATTCCAGTCAAATAGATGGGTAATGTACTTTTAACACTTTATAATAAAAGAAGCTGAACTCAACTTTTTTGACATATGACATTATGTTTATGATCATAAAACACATTTTCTGTTAATTTGAGGGGAGCTTTTACAAAAAAAAACCACCAGCAACTGCCTTACTTTTGTGTTGTCAAAGGATACTTTTGTTGGAAACATCTTTCTACAGGTCTAGAAGTGCATTTTGGGATGCAATTAATGGGCTTATGTATACGAGGTATTTCAGACCCTTACCCTTTCAGGTTACCGTCTGCCTCTCTCCCCAGTGATCGAGAACCATGCTTGAAGAAAAGTGCATACATTTCACTGCAAAACCTTGGCTTCTCCTCTGTAGTTTACATAAAGGTACGGTGCGTGGATTTATTGTGAACTAGAAGTGGCAACACCAAGTGCTCAGCTGACTCATTCCGGCAACAGGTAGCTTCCTGCTGCCATTTCACAGATGAGAGGCTGCTGAAGATCCCTGGTGCAAGAGACCTCGAACATTTACTGCTTAGCTCGTTTTTCTCGCAAGCTTTTCTGTGAGGCTTATGAAATCTGTTTTTCTCCCTTTTTCTCTATCGTCGGTCCTTCTCAGTATTGTTCTTCCCTTTCTCTGTCTCTCAGCTGACACGTTCTCTTTCCATCTGTCATTTCGATTGCGGCTGCAGTTTGTTTGGTTGAAGGGGAAGTGGGTAAGAGAAGGGATCTCTAGCGTGGTGCACTGTGGAGCTGAGAGGAAAAGAAATCAGACGCTAATCTAATAAGAGGCTTTACGCTAAAGGAGGGCAAATAGCCTGCCTGCACTCTGAGTCAGAGGGAACAGAAGTTGAAAGGGGGTTTCATACAATAAGTCATTGTACATTGCCTTCTGGATCGTTGGTGGTGATGAGACTCTGCATGAGTTCAGTTGTGTGTTGTAAATGAACAGAAGCTGAAAACAATCCTTATGTCTTAAGCAGACCTCTTGTATGTCCCATTAGATTAGCAGGCAATCAACAGGTGCTGTGATTTGCATCTGAAAGCACAGAAAAACATTAGAGCCCTGTTTTTAAAGCATGTTCTGGGAGCCAGGCCCATTCTCACTCTGTGTGGGCTCTTACTGTACATGTTGATAAAGTTATGGCCACTAAGAATGATTGGTTGGTCTGAAATTTTTGGCAGTTGGACATTGTTTTTATATTTTCGCCATGCTTTTTTACAGTCTTCATACAAGCAGAGCACTTTGTAGCCCAGCTGCTTTCATGAGCTGTGAGGCTGCTCTGAGTTCAAGGGCCAAGCTGCTGTGTTGTATATAGCTGAAGGAGCACAGTGGGAATCAAAGGTAGCGATGGTTATGAAACCATTGGTGTCATAAATGAGCTGCCTTTGAACAGGCCACTGGTCAGGAATGATGTAATGGAGTTGGAGGTAAAATAACATCTCTTTTTGCTTACAGAAACTGGCTCCTGGGGTAAACCAGTTTGCCTACACCTGCGTGCAGGAACATCCTATCTGGACCAATCAGCAGTTCTGGGAGGCCACCTTCTACTCAGAGGTGCAGAACCAGATCCGAGCCCTGTACCTCAACACCCCTGAGGACAACCAGCTCATCACTGCCAAACTCAAGGTACACACCACATTAGGGACACCAGACTCGCTGCCATTTGAATTATTCATGTAATCACCCTTTGAGACATTGTATATAAACAAGAAAGAAGTCCAAATATTTTCCTCATATCAAAACAAAAAAAAAGTTTTTTTGTGGTGTCTGTTGCGTAAATACTTTTGTAAATACCAAATATCTTTGTCATAAACACGTCAGTCTAAGCGTTAACAAAAGCGTGACTTGTTGTTAACTGCTGCTTAATACCGGTGGGTAAGTCAGCGCGGTATTTAATCTCTCAGAACCAAACATTAGAACGAGGTGTAAGAGAATGTTTGTCACTCAAGTAAACAGCCTCTGCACAGCTTATTTTCCCAAATGAAGAACACTGTAACAGCTTTTTCGCTCTTCTGGTTCTCGTGTCCCCCATGACCTGACCGTCAGGAGCCGGGTCCTTTGCCGCCAGCGTCCCCCAGTGAGTCAGAGCGGACGGCCATGGACTTGGCCGCTGAGCAGCTGCGGGCCTGGCCCAGCCTGAGCAAGGAGAAGCAGCAGGAGCTGGTGAAGAGTGAGGAGAGCACAGTGTTCAGCCAGGCCATCCACTACGCCAGCCTCATGGTCTATCTGCTTGTTCCTCTGGATGCCAGCAAGAACAAGCTTCTCCGTGCTGCGCCCACAGCAGACTGGGAGAGCGGCAGCAACAGCATCGTCACAAACAGGCAAGATAACTTATACCACCTTCAGCAGCCTTTCAGCTTTCACTCACATATCCAGGCACCCTATGTACAGCATTGGTCACTCTGCTTCTGGAGATCGACCATCCTAAAGAGTTCAAGTCCAGCTCTAATTTTCAAGTTTTCTCTGGTTTAAGCAGGCTTCTGTCTGGGTCCTTTCCCCAGTACCCATTTTCAGTATAGCAGGAATTGTGGCATTGGAGAAAGGAACCAGATATCAGGCCATAGAATCCGTAACCTTTCAGATAGAAGTAGCCTCTACAGTATTTGTGGCACCTTCTTTATGAAAACACCCTGAAGTTTACTGTTCATACTGCTTGCATACCACTACAGCCAACCTCCACCCAACCCCCTTCCCCTATGATGCTATAGTCAATCAGCTATGGCTACAAACAGAGTTTGGATGATCCTACATTCTGACAAGCCTAACTCACATGATCCAATAAGTGATCTTGGTCTTTTGAAGACTTTATTTACCATCATCCAGTATGTGAGATCTGGATTAGAGTTGAAACTGCAGGAAATTAGACTTTTTGGAATAGTCATATTTTCTAATACATTTTCCAATTCAGCAGGTGCTTCTATCCAGAGCAACTTACTGTGCAAACAGTGGAAGCCAGTCCATATTGTTTAATGACAGAGGTTGTATTTGTGTGGTATCTGCGTTCGGCACATGTGCAGTGTGGCATTTGTGTTTGGAGACTGTCATTGCGGACAGGCTGCTGGTCAGGAAAGTAGTGATACAGGCAAATTAAAATAATGGCCAGGACTCTAGTGCCTCTGAAGAGCAATTAAACAGAATTAAATTTGCCTAAGTATAGCCTGGAGCATTATTTTGGAGAAAAAGCATTCTTATTTTCCATAAGAGAAGCAGTTTTGGGGAAGGTGCTGACAGTTCTGGGGGCGTCGGCTGAGGACATGGTGTAGTTCCTCCGGAGAGGTATCCAGTTATGTGCCACATCCTCTCCGCCTCCTCCAGCTGGCGCCGGTAGCAGCCTAACTACGGCTCTCTGCCTCAGCTGAGTGGGTGAAATGTGCTGGCTTGTTGTGGAGAGAGATCTCAGGCACAACCAAAAACAACAATGGGAGGGAACCCAGAGCTTTGTAGTAACAGTAATGTGTGTACGTTTTGGGAAACTTTGGGCACAAAAAGAATGAAAATTGGCCAACCTCATATCCTCAGAGCCCCTCTCCTTAGCTTTTTTTGCCTCTTTCCTTCTTTCCAGGCTGCACAGTAGCCATTTCAAAGCACATTAACTAAAGCAGTTAGCGCAAGTTACTAAGCTTTGTGCCAAAGCTCACGTTTTTTTTTCATCTGTTCATGTATTCCCAAGATTTTCATGACTGTTTTAAGTGAGATTGCTTAAGAGGTGCTTCATTTCCATTTCCTGACACATGGCTTGTTTTATTGGGGAGAATCTTCAGTCTCTTTTGTCATTGTTAGGATCCTTAAGTAAGTCTTACTCCAGACATGTTTTGATTCCTTACTGAATGTGTCTGGAACTTGTCTATTTGTAAACAGAAAAGGACAGTTACATCACTTTTTTTCCAGATGCTGAATTCGTAATGAACCCAAGAGAGCTTGGTATTAAATTTTCCCATTTGTACATGTTGTTGCAGTCCAGGCATAGTGGACTTTGTCCCAGCTTTGGGTTAATTTATTTGAAATTTGATTAGATTACTTCCAAAGGCAGAATATGGTTGTTTTTAGAGTCACTTTGTCTGTAAAATGCCCTCATTCAACGTACAACAACCCAACAAGATAGAGTTCATTTGTTTACTTTTGCTTCTGTTGCCTGTTTAGAAATTCTGATATGAGAGATTTTAAACAATATATCATTGGATATAGTGAGGAAATGACCTTTTAATATTTTGAGCCTTTGGGTTTGAATAGTGTTTAGAGTTTAGTCATAAAATCAAAATATTTTGACGTACATTGGCCAGTATATTGGGCTGTATACCTGTACTGCACACAGGAATGTCTTACAGCCTGCTTGTTGTGTACTCTCCAGTATTGCAGGCAGCGTAGCAGAAAGCTTCGACACCGAGAGCGGATTTGAAGACTCTGAAAACAGTGACGTTGCCAACTCTGTGGTGAGGTTCATCGCTCGGTTCATTGACAAGGTTTGCACTGAGAGCGGAGTCACCCAGGATCACATTAAGAACCTGCACAGCATGATTCCAGGTAAAATGTTCTTTTCCTAACTAAGGTAAGAGATACTACCTTGTCTGTTTAGACTGCCAGTATAATATTGAGGTATAGCTAGCTGAAATGTTTGTCTTGTTTCTTGTGTCCAGGTATTGTGGCCATACAAATGGAAACACTGGAGGCTGTCCATAGGGAAAGTAGAAGACTTCCGCCCATCCAGAAAGTATGTATGTTCTTTTGCATTGCCGATTTATGAGATCTGGGTTTTAAAACATCACAGTCTTCATTCTTTGGTTTGCTGTTTTGTGAATTCATGTCTGTGCAATACCTAGAAGGAAGGCCTCTGAAAGGTTTCTCCCGGACCTTTGACGTCGGTTGCTATATTTACATAGCAATGGACCAGGTCATGTGTGACATTCAGATGGTCCAAGTTTGCTGCCAGTAACACATTATAATGACTTGGAGCTAGTAAACAAGTGAAGCCATCAGGCTGGAGATTTATGAGCAGTGATGCTGGAGCTGTTCTTCTAATTTGGCTGGACATATAAGGAGTGTGAAACTTCATGGGCCCTCAAATTCTCAAATCAGTGCTTGGTTATTGATGGTAGAGTACTTGTGAGTAAAACTGGAGTGCTCCGTCTCTAGATGTTGCTAAGATTTAGGTGTTTTCGTGAATAGTCACTATGATAAAAACAAGTCTGCTGACTGTTCCCCTGTTTGTGTCTGTGTGTGTGTTCTGACCTTAAATAGCTTCTCAGTGATGGAGAGAGAATTCAGGACTGTCTGCAAGCAATGTTGTTTGTGAGTGTTGCAAGGCCAGAAGGGGAACTGTAGCTAGTGTGAGCTTCAGGGAAGGGCCTCATGGAGAACTGGCCTGACCTCCCTTTTCCCTGGCCTCTCTTATGTGATGTGTGAGTGGTCAGAGGTTCTTCCAGGGTTCCAGTCCTCATAGCAAACATTTCTCTGCTGGATTCACAGGCCCATGGAGAGCTGCCCTGGCTCTGGATACGAAAAACCTGGGCTGTCTTCACATATAAGAGCAGGTCTTTTGCTCTGATAACGCAAAAATTCTTACAATAGACAAGAGCCTAATTTTTCAAACTTGGCTTAAAGCTTTGCTGTTTTGCTGTTTTCTCACTCATCTCTTAATGAGGTGAGTAATGACACCAGCACAGTGTGTGCCTCCACTGACCACTAGTATTAAGCAAAAAATAGTTTGAAGCCTACATATATATGCCATCTGAATGTCACGATCTTGTCTTGACACGGGACCATAAAGATTTCGTTGTGTTTATGAGTCATCCTTGTCAGTTAGTTAGATAGTGTTTCATAAATCATCAGTGCAGAATGGGAATAATGTCAAGAGGCATGACCTCTGTGATTTCAGAGAAAAACATGCTGTCTGTTTTGAATAATATTGCTGTATATCTGCTGGGGAGACTGCACAGTGTCAGCCTTAAACATCAAAGAGCTGCCTTATAGGAATGTTGTATAGAAGGCATGGGAATTTGGAGTATCTGACTGTGCTCCTGTTCTCTGCAGCCAAAGATCCTCCGGCCAGCCATGCTCCCTGGAGAGGAGCTTGTGACGGAGGGCCTGCGGGTGGTCCTGGACCCCGATGGCCGGGAGGAGGCCACGGGAGGCCTGCTGGGAGGACCACACATTCTCCCAGCGGAAGGAGCGCTCTTCCTCACCACCTACCGCATCATCTTCAAAGGCACACCCCATGATCCTTTAGGTAAAAGCCAGCTCCTGTTCTGACTCTGCTGTAAATTAATGTCTGTCTTTCCTATCTTTCCGTATTGCTTTATTGACCTGGTTTTCTCACGGCTGTTGTGAGTCTCAGTAGTACTCGCAGTAGCACTATATTTAGTAACTGCTGCTGATTACTCAGTGCCTGAAACTGCTGTTAGCTCTTATCTTTACAACGTAGAGCTTATCAGAGGTGGGAACAAGTCACTGACCTGTAAGTAACAAATACGTCTCAGGTCTTGACACTTAAAGTCCTGTCCCAGCCTGTTTGCATTCTTCAAATTTAATGTTATTTCGATGTTGAACACACTAATTATTTCTTTTACATAAACCTTCCAAAATTACCAAATCCATGATACATGGAAAACCATGACAGACACGGTGCACACAGTCACACTAACTAGCTGAACATACACTGATCAGTCATAACATTATGACCACCTCCTTGTTTCTATGCTCATTGTCCATTTTATCAGCTCCACTTACTATATAGGTGCACTTTGTAGTTCTACAGTTACAGACTGTAGTCCATCTGTTTCTCTGCATACTTTGTTAGCCCCCTTTTACCCTGTTCTTCAGTGGTCAGGACCCCCATGGACCCTCACAGAGCAGGTACTATTTGGGTGGTGGATCATTCTCAGCACTGCAGTAACACTGATGTGGTGGTGGTGTGTTAGTGTGTGTTGCGCTGGTCTGAGTGGATCAGACACAGCAGTGCTGCTGGAGTTTTTAAACACCTCAGTGTCACTGCTGGACTGAGAATAGTCCACCAACCAAAAATATCCAGCCCACAGCGTCCTGTGGGCAGCGCCCTGTGACCACTGATGAAGGACTAGAGGATGACCAACACAAACTGTGCAGCAGCAGATGAGCTATCGTCTCTGACTTTACATCTATAAGGTAGGAGTGTCTAATAGAGTGGACAGTGAGTGGACACAGTGTGTAAAAACTCCAGCAGCACTGCTGTGTCTGATCCACTTGTAACAGCACAACACACACTAACACACCACCACCATGTTAGTGTTACTGCAGTGCTGAGAATGATCCACATGTAATTTAAGCGTGTAATTTAATAAATAGTTTATTGGTTGGTTCGTAGTAATCTGATCAGCTTATAATTCTTATAGCTTTCTTCTGTAGCATGAAAATAGGTTTGGTGTTGGTTTTGTATGTGTTTCCATACACATGCCTCCACACATTAGGTCATGTATGGTACTATGAAGGAACAGCACAGTATATAGAGTGAATTTTGATTCAAGATATCTTTAGTTTTATAGAATATTGCAGTTTTTTTTTGCATTTTTGTTTTTACGTTATTAATGTGCTGCTTCCAACATAAAAATTTGTGATGCTGTCATTGTCCAGACCCTTCTATATATCCCTGATGTATGTTTGTGTGTGTGTACATTTGTCTATGTACAGTTGGCGAGCAGCCAGTGATCAGAAGCTTCCCAGTGTCCACGCTAACTAAAGACAAAAAGATCACCATTCAGAACCAACTTCATCAGAACATGCAGGAGGGGCTGCAGCTTAGGTCCGCCTCCTTCCAGGTAAAGCCGTGCCTGAAAAGGCAGAAGGATGAGCTTTTTTTGGCATCTTATGATCTACATAATTTTTGCCCATGACTTATGATTATGGAGTAGTATAAAGAAAAGTGTAGGATGAGGATGTAGAGCTGCACTGTTTCAGAAACGCTCCATTAAACTGTTTCAGCTGTGATTACTGTGGAGGCAAGACGCATGTTTTGGCTAAGCATTGCTGCCATGTTTTTCACGTATATAGCATTCTGGATTTAGACCAAGCACCAGACCCATATGTGTTGTGTTCTTCATGTACTATAAGACCATAAAGTTTTTATGGCTCATTCCTATCTCTTTACTAACACGTGCTATAAAACTGAGCCCTGTATGAAAGTATTGGTCATTTGGGCCTCTTTGCCCACGTGTGGATGGCCTGTGCTGTCTGGGATGCATTATTCGACCTTCATTAAGCACAGCGGACCACTGGGGGGCTCGCTGTACTGCTACAGCAAACTCCTGAATACCAGAGAGATAAGAACACAGGGTGGTGGGGATGTGGAGTCACAGAGAACAGCACTCATATGGCCAAACCCTACTTGGAAACATTCCCTCTTAGAAACTGGGGAACAAGCCTATTCCAAACCCCAATATGCAGTTCAGAGGAGTTCAGCAAGTCCTGTTGTTGGTCTATAACATTTCCAGTGATTATTTACAGATTTGTTTTACCATGTGGTGTGGTGACCCCAGCAGGAAAGTATTTCAGCCATCAACAGACTGATCAATCTTACTGTTTGCGCATTGAGTTTGTATTAAGGGGTCTGATCCTGTGCTGTTATGTGTCTCAGCTGATTAAGGTGGCGTTTGATGAGGAGGTGACCTCTGAGATGGTGGAGATCTTCAGGAAGCACCTACAAAGGATCCGTTATCCGCAGTCTGTCTTCAGTACCTTCGCCTTTGCTGCAGGACAGACAGTTCCTCAGCTCTTACTGCCCAAACAGAAGGAGAGGAACACAGGCCTCCGGTCAGTCAAAGTCTAAAGCACACTAAACAAGAAAGCATGGTTGAAAAGTGGGCTAAAACATACTAAAAATGTGGGAAATGTAACATTAAGGCTAAAAAAGAAATAGTTATTGAGGTCCTGTTCTATTTTCGATAGCACATTGTCCAAGACTATAGTAAAAGGAGCTAAGAGAGCAGGCAAAATCACCATGGGCCGTCAGTCCACGCTGCAGAAGAAAAATGAGAAAGGCAGCCGCATGACCTGGCATGAGGATGACGACATCTCAGGTGAGCCAAGGTTATACATGCGTAGGTAGTGAGATGAGAGAGATTCAATCAAAAGTCATGACCTGCATCTTATTGGATATGTTGCAGTGTCAGATGAAGGTGAGCCCCCCGCTAGTAGCACTCTGAAGGCCACGGAGAAGTCCACCATGGAGCAGCTGGTGGAGCGTGCCTGTTTCCGGGACTACCAGAGGCTTGGTCTGGGCACCATAACTGCCAGCTCCTCGCGTTCCAAAAGTGGAGAGCAGTTCCGTGTGACTGCAGTCAACAGACTCTACTCACTTTGTCGAAGGTCAGATGCCTCTCTGCATGCTTTGACTTTAGGAACTATGTCTGTCTGTCTTGCTGGCCTGTTTACTTAGCAAAATGAGTGTTTATAAGACTTTTGTTTAACAGCAGACAAAAGCAGTGTCCGATTTAATGTGCGAAGGTGGCCACCTTTTGAAAATTATTAAAAAAGGACAATAATTTCATGACAAGATCCTTGAAAAAAGGACAGGGCAGGGTTATCTTAGACTACTTTCACACCTATTTTTTTATTTCTTTTGGAAAAAGCACCAAAATTAGCATTATAATGAGGTATCCTTTTCATTTGGTTTGGTTAGTTTCAGACTGCAGCAGCTATTGGTCAGGAAATTTGTAGGGAAACCAACAATTCAGTTGCTTTCACATTTTCCTCCATTAGTGTCAAATGAATCTTCCCATCTTTAGTCATGAGTTAAGATTTGACAATCATTTTTTTGTAAAATCATTATTACAGAAGCTAATCTTACCTTAATTTAGGAATTATATCTTATCTTACAGCATCTTATCTCAACTTAGGAAATCCTAAACTTCTAAATCAGATTGGTAATCAGTTGTTAGTCTGTTACCAAGTCGCCGACGATATGTGCACAGCTGAAACGTCAACACAAAATCAGAACAACGTCTGATTGGTTTTGAGTGACTAAAGGTCACTGACCTAGAAGTTTAAGAACATTGTTACTGCGCCCTGTCCTGGCTGTTTAACAAGGCGTTGCTGCTCTCCAGTTTCAGTTTTGGTTTCCCAAAGCTATAAGTTGCCTACGAGCTGCGCTATTCTTGTTTCTTGTTAAACAGCCACAAGTTCAACTCTGACTCCTCATTATTCACCCCTACTTTCACTATTTAAACCACTGTTGCAATAATAAAAAAATAAACGGTAGAAACAGACGTTAGGACGCCACTGAAGCTGACCCAAACATAGGATAGTAGAATGCTTCCTTAATACTCTTTTCTTAATGAGTTTGGAGTTTTTGAACTTGAAAAAAGCCTAGAAAAAAATGCAAAAATCACACTTTTTTTTAATCATATATATCTTTAGTCTATAAATTATGCAGGCTATGTACAAACGTGTGCAAATGAATCATTAAGATTTTAGCATGAGCATGTTATCAAATAGTCCTATTAATTGTTCCTGCTGCCTTTTTAATGTTTAAATGTTTCACAATGAATTAAATCTAAGAGTGTAAACAGTTACCGTTTACTGTATATGATGGAACAGATTCTTATGAAGTTTCTCCCTGTGTATTTTGAAGTTACCCTGGACTACTGGTGGTGCCCCAGTCAGTGCAGGACAGCAGTCTGCAGAAGGTTGCGCGGTGCTACAGACACAACCGTTTGCCAGTAGTTTGCTGGAAGCATCCTCGCACCAAAGCTGTGCTGCTCCGCTCAGGGGGCTTTCATGGCAAAAGCGTGGTGGGACTGTTCAAGTCGCAAAACCCAGCTACAACAGGTGTGTGACAACACATGGACACAAAGGGCCAGATGCTACATTTTTCTTTTCTTTTTTTTCCCCCTGAGGTCCACTTATGACATTTTTGGCAATGTTTTATGTACTAGAAATGGTCATTGTTCATTCGTACCTGACCAGTACCTCTCTTCATCCCTAACAATTAAACAGGCTGTTTTTTACTGTGCCTTTAGGAATGAAATGTTTAAATGAGCTCTATTCTGATTGCCCTGTATTGTACCTCATTTACAAAATAGTCCAGACTGAAACACTCCTTATACCTTTACCAGGAAAGGGTGGTGCTACACTGCTGTACGCAATCTGATAGACAGATTTTTATAAATATGTTGGTTTTTGTGAGATCACAAAAACAGTGAGTTCAAAACAAGCTTAATTTCCATATATGAGCTGTATGAAGTGTGGAGTAAATGGTATGTTTTGAAATTTTAACAATGTTTACATACTACATCAAACTCTACCCTACTTCAAAAAGTGTGGAAAACTTGGTTTGCTGTGATGCCCTTTAAGTCAAGGGGCCCCTAAGATATGGTCTAAATGTCCGCAGAAGAAAAATGTGGTTTTGGGGCCAAAATGTTATGTGAATATTGATATTCTCTCTCTCTCTTTCTTGTTGTTCCCCTCCAGCTCCTGCTGCTTCATCAGAGTTGTCCAGTAGTCTGGAGCAGGAGAAATACCTGCAGGCCATCCTCAGCTCTATCCCAGCTTACTTCAAATCCAACGGCAGCAACACACTGTCCAACCGCTCGCTCATCGGCCTTTCCCCAGGTATTCTTCCCTCAGACACCCTGCATCCCTCTTCCGATGCACTCTTTCTCCAAGATGGATGCTTGCATGTTTGTCCCACGCTTGTTTTGGCTTTTGTTGTCCCCGATTCAATGTTTTTTTGGGGTCTTATCTCCACACGGCTTCCTCTCATTGCCCAAACTGTTATTTATATTTGTGGGCCTGAGCTCCAGAGGAACTGAAGCACAATGTGTGTACTTATATAAGAGGAACAGGACATGAAGAGGTCACCTTGAACCCATCTCTCTTCTATCACCCACTGCTCCCCGCTGCCCCAATCCCGGTTCAACCTGCCCCATCAGCAAAGCTTCTCCCCTGCAGTGTTCCCTTTCTCTGCACTTGTTGTTGGGTTGAAGCAACCTCCCTCCTCGCCTGAGCAAACTAAAATGCATCCATCTTGACCCTAATGACTGTTCGGTTCTGGCAGGACACAAAGTGGTCTTATTAAGAACTGGGCCAGTTGACTGTAAGACCTGGATTAGATTCACATTTCATGAACTGAACTAAAAATAGCAAATTGAAATAGATTGCAGATAGATACAGCCTTGTAGAGTGGCCCAAGGGCTGAGTCAGATACTAATCAGTGAGTTCCCTTCCAAATGTAATGGAACCCTGCAGATGTGCTTCATTTGCAGCTACGTAAGCCATCGCCAAGTTACCTGAGCATAATCTAAACTGATCCCCCATGATCTAGACCTATTATAAGCTCTAAGAGGATTGCGGTGAGACTGAGTTTGGAGAAAGATGCCATGTCAGCAAATTAAGGAGTACTTAAGGCCTGATTTCCTCGAGTCTTCAGTATATGCCAGCCTGTTTTTCTGGAGCACGAAAAGCAACTAGAGAACATTTAATACATCTCCCAGTCTCTGAACATCTGTGGGCTACAGCTTTCATTTTCTGAGATGACTTGGTGCTTCAGGCTGCATTATACGCGCATAAAATGCAGTGAGGTTGTTTGATGCTGAGATGACAATATGAGGAGCGATAAAATAAATAATAATTAAAGTAGGGTCTCTGGCTGGTTGCGCAACAAGAACATATAGAAAACAACATACAGAAAAACAATATATAAAAACCAGTAAAATACAGCACTGCACAAAGAAAACCCTTTCATTTATTTAATTTTCAAGTCAAAGTGGCCCACAAAGCGTCACACTGAAATTGTTGGAGGCTTTTGTGTAATTTTCTGTTAAATGTATGTTTCCCAGCCAGCTGATTACATCACTCTTGTGCTAAGCATGTATATAATGTAATATGATCCATTGTGTCATTGCAGCCCTTGACGATACGTTCATGGCTTATACTCACTAATGATAAAAGCACGGATAACAGTGGGACCCCAGTTGATTTATCTCAATTGTACGCAAATGTTATCTTGTATTAGCATCACTAAGGTTTGGTGATGTACGTGTGGGTGATGGTGGTTACCTTTCCTGAAATATCCATTAGTATTTAACAGCCAAACATGCAAGCATGAGTGCACAGAGTAATGCATGTTCATGAGAATTTACATTTACAAATTAGCAGTTTTCTGTTCCCTGAAACTCTATTGAGCCATAATGATCATGCAACACTGTCAAAGATCCAAGATTACATGGTTTGTTTTTGTACAAATGTCTTCATAGCGAGCGAAAGAAGGTCATCAAGAATACCAAAGATGGCCCCTGTCTACTTGGATATTTCCTTCTCCAACAGCTTCACCAGAGGAGGTGAGTGGACTGTCATATATGTTCATTAACCACTGACATAATGAAGTATCAATACCACGTTTTTTTATTTAACACATGTACTTGGATATCTCATTTCTCTATGTTCTCTCAGTCCACTGGGCACAGTCTGACATCCCACACAAACGCACACACACTCATGTGCATTCTCTGTTGGCTTTGGCCTGCTCCGAATTCTCCAGTGACAGCGTGGCTGAACTTTGCAGATTTTTGTTTACATAATCCTTTGGAGCACAGAACATGTTTCATGAAATCCACAACACCAGCCATACACAGGCATTTAGGCAGTGGAACATGAATTTGCCGATAGCGTATTGGAAACTTTTGCTTTTGGTAGAGACCACTGGATTCATGTCTCAGTCTGTTGATGCAGATGCAGGCCTTCAGGTTTTACTGGGTAACTGAGCTGGAAAGATATTTACATTGTAAATTTCAGCTGTTTTTTCTTGTGTTCTGTGGCCCATAACAAGATTATATTCTTGCATAATAGTTGTCCTTCAAATGGAACGTTGATTATTTACAGGAGTGAAACTTAGAGGGGAAGGGAGTGACTTTGGTGTCTTGATTACCGCCAGCGATGTTGTAATCTGGGTTAAAAGCAGCAGCTGCAAGCGATGACTCGTAGCACAGCAGAATTAGAAAGGGCACCACACCATCCTTCCATTAGCAGGTGAACTGATTCCAAGAATGACTGAATAACAGACATCAGACCCAAATTGAAAAATCTGGAATTGAGTCACTTGTTTGTCATCTTTATCATGGATTCATCAACTTGCACTGACTTGTGCAGAGGTTTATCAAGTACTGTTGAAGTTAGAATATGAACATGTAAGACTGCGAACTGCACTTGTGCTAAAGATTAGACTTTATGAATTGTACTTGCAGTAAAATTGAACTACCTAAATTTGCTTAATGGGCCCAAATCATGCGTTTTTTTTGGGTTTTTTTTTGGGATTTCTCTCTCTGAAGTCCACTTAGAACTTTTCTGTAACTTCTAACATTTGCGTAACAAACCGTCGTAATTCATTTCTACAATGAACTTGAATTTTCAAGAATCTCTTTATTCCTAAGAATTAAACAGTTTTTGTTACGGATTTATGTAAATGACCTCAGTTCTGATTTGCTGCCTTGCATTGTGCTTCATTCAGAAAGCAGTTCTGGTTGTAACATGAATGGGCGGGGCCAAACTGTGTAGCCTGTATAGGCAGATATATGTGAGATATGACATCACAAAAATACTGAATTCAAAACAGCCTTTTTTGCAGTTTTGTGTCTGTATATCGTCGCTGTCCAATGAAAACCATGTATCCCCATTTTTGTTATTTTTTAGTTTTCTACATCATTTCAACACACCAGCTGTCCTTTACGTTGTGTAAAACTTTCATGATAAATGGATCAATAGAAATGCTCTAAAATCACTTGGAACAAAATCTCTTTACTGTAACTTACATTGAAAGGTAAGAGTGTTTTTATATTCTCCTATAAAGTTACTATTTTGGAGATGCTTGTTTTTCTTTGGACAGCGATGATATGGACTTTATGGACTAAAAAAAGGGAATGGTGCATTTTAAAACGTTAACATTGTTTATGTAGTACTTCAAACTCTTTTATTTAAAATTTTATTTAAACAAATAATTAAAAAGGAAGATCAGTTTTCCATGATATGGGCCCTTTAAGTTATTGAAAGCAAATCTTTGCTGAGTTTATCTTATAAAACTGTACTTTTTCTCTGTCTTGCCTAATGCTTGTGTAAGAGCATTTCTCAAAATTTACAATACAGACAAGGTAAAGAGTAGCACAGTAACTTGATAAGACCTCTGAACAATCAGAGCCCTGTTCGTGTTCTGCATGTTAACTGTCCATCTATCTCTCTGGATCATGTTCATCAGTGACAACTCATTGTACTGGCTTTTGCAACCACAAGATTTCATGAATCTTTTAAGCCATTTGATCATTGACAGGCTGTACTGTTAATGACTGCTCTGCCTGTGTTTGGAGGAGTCTGCTTGTTGGTGTGTGATTTCCTCCATCTGATGTGATTTCTCTGTGCCTCCTCCACCCCCCACCCCCCTCCCCCGCACCCTTAATCTACCAGTACTTGGGTACAGGGACAAACTATTCACTCACACAAACCAAAAATCTTCAGCTAAGGGGAGACTCCACAATCAAGGTATAGTCCCTCTGTTTACTGACTTTAACTAACCTGCCCTGTGCTTTTGAGAAACCTTGCTCTGTCAGTGGCCATGATCTACTTCCCTAACCCTACTTCTGTAGTGTGCGCATGCATTTTACCACAAGACCACCACAAACCTCTCTTAAGGCCTCAGTGTCCCATTCTACAGGAAGATTCACTCGAAAGAGGCCCGAATATTCTGTCATAACACTCTCTAGGACGAAGCAATCTGAACCAAACAACATGCAATGTGCTCCTCAGTATATGGAGCTTCGAACAAGCCAGGATGCCCCTGCGTCGGAGCAATGAGGTAGGCGCCAGACAGCCGTCACCACGTTTAACCTCCATTTGTAACTTCCGGGTGCGTACCCCCGGACCCCTTCATATATCTGGCAGTAAACGGAGATCACTTCCAGCATCGCATGTAATGCAATCGATTTCACATACGTCAAGATATGTAGCTGATTATTTTGGTTCCGATTGCTTTATCATAACGGGAGTTACAACAGAATATGTTCTGGCATCTTTCCAGTGAATCTCCCTGTATAAGTAAGCAGTACGTCTTTAGTTTGGAAAGCAGTGGATCGCTGTAGTTCCTTTTTGCGGTGTGGAGGAGCAGGTCTTTTTTTTTGTGGAGTTCTGGTTCATGTTCACTTCCATGTTTCAGCTGAAGACAGCACTGTGAGCCAGCTTTGGTATTCATTTCTAAACCCGTGTCACTGAGTTGAGAGTAAACCACAATCGACTTTTGGAGAAGTAGAGAGTGAACCGCAGTCGAACTCTGGTACAGCTGGAGTATCGCTGAATGAGGAGTCAATAAAATTGATGTTGTTTGTTTTAGGTGAACTGTTGTGAAAGTTTTGTGCTGTTAATAGACTTACTGATATTTACTCTTGAGGTAATAGGTATGCAGTGCTCCTTAAGCCCCCCCCCAGTCTTGTGTCATGTGATCTATAAAGAAATGCTTGCATATGTCTGTTACTTTCTTTTACAAATGCTTACAGTCTCCCTCCTTGTCCCTGTCTCAATTAAAGGTGTCTGGGCCAGCCTGCGCTCCAGCAGCAGGTTTATCCAGCACCCCTCTGCAGCTGAGGTGGGGGCACGGCTGGCAGGCAAGGATCTGGCACCCCCTATAGGCAGTGAAAGTCTGCAAGCACTTCTCAAGCAGCAAGCAGCCCTCTACATCTTTGGAGAGAAGTCTCACCTCAGGGTAGGGCTTGTATTAAAAATATTGGAAACAAAAAGGCAGCGAATTGCAGAACTAAAGCATAGAACTGACAGTCCGCAAAACTCTCAAGTCCCGCCTCTTAGATACTGTCGCTATGTCCAACAATCTTACAGCAGCGGCAGCCTGTTAGAATCCGTAGCACTAGTAGAATCGTCAACACTGACGTATATTATAGAACTGACAATATACAACTGTAAAACAAAAATAGCTTCTGGAAGCCATTTTTACATTAATCAAACTGAGGAAATATTTTAGCCACGGGATCAAATTTAGCTTATCTTGAAACAAACAAACATAGTTGACATTGAACTGAATTTGGTCTTCCACATCTAAAACATTTTTTTTTTTTTTGCGAATGGGGAAAAAAAAAACAGCACCACCCGCAGTATGATGAGGATGCGTCACGCACTATGTGTTCCTTAGTAAACATTTTCACCATCTCAGCCTAATAATGCTAACTGATTTACTGCCACTGCCATTCCACTCCAAGCTAGCTCTGAGAAGTTATTCACTGCGCTTGATGGGGGAAGTAGTGCTTAGTGAAGGTTGTGATTGACGGAGAGACGTCAGATATTTTGCATACGGTCAATTGACGTTATGTGTTACTTAAAATGCTGGGTTCTAGCATTTCTACTAGGGACATTCATGTCAGTTTTAAGTGTCCGAAACCTTTTTTTATTCATACAAAGTGTATCAAATAATTTCTGTCTGTAATATTTGGATATTCTAGTTTTTCCAGATGGTGATAAATCTGTCAGCTGATATGATATCCTTAATAGCCATTTCTAAAAGGTGTGATTAATGATAAAATTTCCCTGTTCTGGCTTCATTTGTATTACATTTGGACCACTGGGTGAGGCCTGTGTATTCTTTTTTTTTAAACTATATCTCTTGTGTTTTTGTATGTGTGTGATGATGGAAAACTGATATATTTTTTGGCTTGATAATTTTTAAATAAATCAATATATGGGTCTGCAGTTATGTAAAGTGGGTTCTTTGGCTGCTCTAGTGCTGTACATCTTTTTCTGCATTCCTTTTAGTCCACAAACTCAGACACTGTATTACTTGGTTCCTTGATCCATTGGTTGTATTACATCTGCAGACCTATATAGAGGAATCATTTACATTTACATTACATTTACATTTATGGCATTTGACAGACGCTCTTAAGGAATAATCTATCAGAATTCTTGAAGAGTTTTCAAGTGTCCCCTTTGATTCATACATACAGTAGTTCACTGTTCTAAGTTGGATTGTGAAAGAGAACCTCATTCTCATTCTGAGACTCCCTTCTCTCCCAGGGCTTCAAGCTGGACTCCATGCTGAACTGTGAGCTGGTGCCCGTGGAATTTGCAGACACTCGGCAGGCAAAGGCCTCCTTCAAGAAACTCCTTCGAGCGTGCTCCCCCAGTGCCATGCCGACAGACGCTGAAGACTCCTTCCTCAGGGTGCTGGAGGAGAGCGAGTGGATCCTGCAGGTGAACACCCATGCTCTTCATTCTCCTCTTGCCACCTGCATCCTTTCGGTTCAGAGCTACATAGCATGCTTTCACTTCTGTTTCTCAAAGCACTTCCCCTTGACGCTTCTCCGCAGTCTGTTTCCTAGCACTGGTGTTCCTGGAGGGGACTGTGAGAATGGGGCAAGCTTTTTCCCTGTGACTCTGACCCTTTTCAAAGCGCTTCCTCCAGTGCGCTCTCCCAAGGGAAACAGTCTGACACAAAGATGGGAATGCAGTCGAGTTGCTTACCACACTAATAACTGTGCCCCGTCAAGCCCCTTGCCCTAAGAACCCCCTGCTGCTCATATGCCAGAACAATATTATCTGTGGGGCTCTTTGCCAAGGTAGCTCAGAGGGCTTAGTCAGCAGTGAACTGTGCCCATGCACAGCCAACCATGACAATAAATGCACAGGAAGAGCTAAAGTTAGATTCCAAGATTAACCCTAGTGTTTTGCTTGTGTATTTGTGTCACAGCTACACAAGCTGCTCCAGCTGGCTCTGATCCTAGTGGAGTTGTTGGACAGTGGGTCTTCAGTGTTGCTGAGTCTGGAGGATGGCTGGGACATAACTACACAGGTGAGAATCTGACACATAGACTACATTTATCAGTGATCTCGCTTGCAGACTCTACGGTCTTCGCTCCACCATCTGCCCCTGATTATGACTGGAATGGACAAAGTCTGCGAAGAGTTTTCTCCTGTAGCTGCAGTTCAGGCAGGGTTTGTCACATTCTTGCAGGCTGAGCTCAAATTTTCCATGTCCACTGGTTAAGCAAGAGGAGCATTATTAGTGAGGGCATTGGGTGTCCTCGGCTCCATCTTTCCCGCTTGTAAAGCTGAGCGGGGTACAGTGAATAGGAGGGACCTTCACATGCCAGGCACGTGTTAGAATCCGAGCACATATCTCTATCTCCCCCTTTCACTCTGGGTCTGTCAGGCAGCTAAATGGGCTCCATATGCCTGGGCTGTCAGGGGCTGTTAGCTAGCTCTGTTGGGGAGAAACAGAGCAGGGTGCTATCACGTTCTACGTTAGCTCTAATCTCGTCCAGGCAGCGCTCTCATGGGACCAGACGTGATCTCGTTACAAGAACATCTCTGGACAGTCACGAAAAATTTTGATCTAAATGTGGGTGGGAACATAGACCTATTATGGTGGGAACAAATAGAGTGTGACATTTCCAAACAAATTCAGTGCCTTACGAAGGGCACCGCTCAAATTAGGAGACGATGGTGGCCTCGTCAACGTTGTCTGATGGACAACAGGCCACTCTCCGATCCCCAGATGCAGTTAAACATGTAGATGCGTGTTGTTTGTGCAGAAAACACATTACAAGCAGTAAAAAAAAATATATGTCTTGCAAGAGAAAAACAAAAAAGGTAGCTGTTCACTAGCTAGCTCGTTTTCCTGATTTTATTCTAGACATTACAGGACCAGAGGAATTTGAGGGGGAGTTTAGAGGGGGCATACCCTTATCTAGCTGGGAGTTTTAGCCCCAAATGTTTCACAAGTTGTCCCCAGACATGTAGTCTCATTATGACTTTACGTCTGCCCCCGTGAGAAGTTAAAATTCCGTAAGAGTCCCAGGTGAACTCTACCCCCGGCACAATTTGAAAAATGTTCAAAAATGGGAGGGGCACGTGCAGTGATGTTTGGGTTTGGAGGTGGGGCTGCAGGGGAAGCCGGGTGGGCTGGGCTGCTGTGTTTTTACAGCTAGCGTATGTTTTTGCCACTGAGAGTCTTACGAGGTTGACGATTTTTCTCTACTACCATCCTCATCTTTGACGAGAGAGGTGTTTCTGATCAGGCAGTGCGTCTTGAGTCTTAACAGTATGATCCACTGTCTCAAGCCGCCAAAGAGTTAACGTAGTGCCAGAAAATGATTAGCAGCGAGTGGGAGAGGCACCGAATGGTAGAACATTCCCTAAAACCGCGACAGCTATATTCTAATGATCTGTTCAGCAGGTCCGTATTCGATATGACCCGAGTCCTGATTTCTTAGTTGCCCTGAATTCTGAATGAATAAAGTGGATTTTTTGAACTCTGTCTAAGTTTCATTCAGTTTGACGTCAAGGTCGCAGACTGCATCACCGGTCAGCCAGGGTTTGCTGCAGTGGCCCTAAATACTTACGTTCTGCAAGCTGTTCATGGCAATTACCGGTGTTACATCTGATTCAGTTCCCACTCAAATTCACGTTCCCCTGTATAAACCGAACCCTCGGCACCTAAACTCACTGAAATGAAATCAAAGGCAAGCAGCACTGGAACTACGGATCTGTGAAGGAAAACGTGAATCCTCACTTAATCTGTCCTTTTGGTTACCTAGTCATATGTTGAACATTATCAGTCTTTATTACAAACTAAGCTCAGATTAACTGGGTTATTTACAGGTGGTACAGACAGCCGGCATATCGCAGCCTTGTGAGGAGGTTCTAGGGGTATTTAGCTCAGTGTGTGAGTGCGGTTACCTCCTTGCTCGAGGCTCCTACAGAAGCGGAACTGACCACAATAAAAATGATATTTTTACAGTTTGGAAAGATGTGTTCACATTTTAAGCAAGGCTGGTAAATTGTATTATTACAGAGCAGTGTATTTCAGCTGTTCATGAGGAAAAATAAAGGTCTTAGGGTGCAGTTACTCTTTAAGCTAACAACATATGTTTTATGTTCCATGACACTTTGTTTTCTGACTTCACAGTCTCATATCACTGCGCTCTCTCTTCTGTTCTAGGTGGTGTCTTTAGTGCAGCTGCTGAGTGACCCATTCTACCGGACGTTGGAGGGCTTCCAGGTCCTGGTGGAGAAGGAATGGCTGTCCTTTGGCCACAAGTTCAGCCAACGCGGTAACCTAACCCCCAGCAGCCAGGGCAGCGGCTTCACGCCCGTCTTTTTGCAATTCCTCGATTGCGTGCACCAGGCAAGTACAAGCTGGTTTTCACTCTTACCGTCATCCTGACACACTGCTCAGTCCCTCTCCCTTGTTCCCATCATGCCATGTCAGTGAAGTTACTGAGGCACCAAAACAGATCACTTGGTATCATGCATATAAGAAGCTTCTTTTTTGCTGTCTCCACATCAGATAAGTAATTTAGTTACATGTGCTCAGATGGGAGGCTTTTTCCCCCTCAAGTTAACCCAGATGGGACCTACGGTCAGTGCTTTCCTAGCTTCCCTAGCTGTTCCGTTATTTCTTTATATGAGTATTTACTTAGAGGAGAGTGGAAAACTGCAGTTAACTGTATTCAAGCTTCCACAGTTACTGGAGTGTGTTTGAAAAGGGGTAGATCACTGGGTCTGTGATTCAAGAACGTGGAGTCTTCTCCGCCTCTCCCAGCAGAGCGGGGCACCACTCCCAACGTCTTTCTTCAGCTATGCTGTTTCCCAGCGAGGGTGACGAAACAGGCATGGATGGCCAGAGTGACCCAAGCGCAAGGTCCCTCAGAGTTGCAAGCAGGAGAAATATAGCAGAAAGCATCTGAAAATAGAAGTGCCTCATCTTACAAGCAGCTGTTGTTTTTGCCAACAAGTGCAGGTGGCCCTGAATGTGAGAACCAGCAAAAAGTTAGCCACTGCCGACAGTTGGACGACATCCCTTATTATTGTCTTTATTTCTGCTGTTTGTTTTTTCCCCCCTTCTCAGTCCCTTAGATGGATGATATCACAGGTCTTTGCTCCCTGAGCTGAGCTATGTCCTGTCTGTAATGGTTAGCTTATGTGCTGTAGCCACTGTAGCCACAATACACAGCACGGCGGCCAGGCTAAATGAGGCTCTAATGCGTTGGGCTGACCCTCTCATTCCAGGTTCATAACCAGTACCCCCTGGAGTTTGAGTTTAATCAGCACTATCTGAAGTTCCTGGCGTACCACTACGTCTCCAATCGCTTCAAGAACTTCCTCTTGGACTCGGACTACGAGCGCCTGGAGCATGGTGTGTATTCATGACTTGTGCATCGAGTCCTTTTTGGAGCAAGGCAGTTTGAACATTCATCTAGAGTGTAATCATAAGAACTGTAACAGGAAAAGGGTGCAGTTTATCCAGTATACGAAATAAACAGGGAAAAAACCCAAAGCATTAGGTATTTGAACACGTGGTGGTAAAGAAACCCTCATCCTCACTGACCTCAGCTTCAATAGCCTGGCCTGTAAAATATGCAGGAACTGCCAGTATAGCACATCTGTAGTGAAACACTCATTACACTTAATCTTTTATCTCTGGTTTCACACCTGATTGTGTTGCAGTAGGCAGCCTGCGTAATAACCGACTCTTTGTTTTTCTTCTATAAAGGCACATTGTTTGAGGATAAAGGAGACAAGCAGGCTAAGAGAGGGATCTGTATCTGGGAGTGTATCAACAGAATGCACCGCAGGAGTCCAATCTTCTTCAACTACCTGTACAGTCCATCTGATGCAGAGGTAAACAGAGTGGAAAAAAATGTGCACGTGTAAGAGTGTGTGTGTGTATGTGTTCACTCAACCAGCCGTTGTGGCTTTTACCCCAGTACACTTCATGTAGAGGTTGTGTTGACTATCATCTCCAAACATTTCGAACTGCCATTCCAGATTTCATCTGTGATGAATAGCTCAGCACTCTTGCATAAAAAACATGCTTGTCTCTGACCTTTTAAAACAGTCTTTTCTTTTTTTGCCTGAGCTGTTGAGCTCCACGAAAACAAATGACACTTAACCCACAGTCCAAGTTGTAAAAGAAGCATCTTTGTGTTTTTCCAGTTTCTAGTTCGGATCTGTTTTGTGTTTCCGAAGTGTAATTGACTCTCACCTCTGTTCTGGCACATGTGGGATCTGAGTGTGACCCCAAATCTCAGATAAGAGGATGACTTTTGCACTTTTTTTGGAACAGTCGATTATTTTATCATTGGCTATTTTCATCTCATCCGTATTCCAACATGTGTAAATCGACAAAAGGGCAAAAAGGATTCTGACAGAAAGGCTTGACATGTTTTTGTGCTGCTAAAGAGTTTTTTTTGGTTCTGTTCCATCAGATACAGTTTACAAGAACAGGTTCAAAACAACACTGAATAAGATGATTTGACCTGAGAGGTGGAGCCAGCAGGAGGACAGGGCGGGGGGCAGTCGCCTCAGTGGCCACACTTTAACAGACACACATACATACGCTATTTGGACAAAGGAATTGTGACACTTATACATCACACCTACAGGAGCTTTTATGATTCCCTTTCTAAACCCATAGGCATTAATATGGGGTTGGTCCCCCTTTTGCAGCTGTAACAGCTTCCACTCTTCTGAAGAAGCTTTCTGCAAGATTTTGGAGAGTGTCTGTGGGAATTTTTGTCCATTCATCCTGAAGAGCATTTGTGAGGTCAGGAACTGATGTTGGACAAGAGGGCCTGGCTCTCAATCTCCATTCTGGTTCAAAGGTGTTAGATGGGGTTGGGGTCAGGGCTCTGTGCGTGCTGGTCAAGTTCTTCCACACCAAACTCACCCAGCCATGCCTTTATAGAGCTGCTTTGTGCCCTGGAGCTCAGTCATGCTGGAACAGAAATGGGCCTTCCCCAAACTTGGTAGCATACAAAGTTCCCAAAGTTGGAAGCATGCAATTGTCTAAAATGTCTTGGTGCTGAAGCATTAAGATTTCCCTTCACTGGAACTAAGGGTTCTAGGCCAACCCCTGAAAAACAACCCCATAGCATCATCCCTCCTCCACTAAACTTTACAGTTGGCAGAGTGCGGTCCGGCAGGTAACGTTCTCCTGGCATTCGCCAAACCCAGACTCGTCCATCAGACTGACAGATAGAGAAGTGTGATTCATCACTCCACAGAACACGTGTCCACTGCTCCAGTGTCCAGTGGTGGCGCTTTACACCACTCCATCCGACGCTTGGCATTGTGCTTGGTGATGTAAGGCTTGCATGCAGCTGCTCGGCCATGGAAACTAATGCCAACAAAGCTCCTGGTGCAGTTTTTTATGCTGATGTTAATGCCTGAGGAGGTTTGAACTCTGCAGTTACTGAGTCAGCAGAGCGTCGGAGACTTTTATGCTCCTCAGCACTCGGCGACCTGCTCTGTAACTTTACGTGGTCTGACACTTCGTGGCAGAGTTGCTGTTATTGTTAAATGCTTTCACTTGTCAATAATACGACTCACAGTTGATCGTAGAACACCAAGGAGGGAAGAAATTTTGCGAACTGACTTGTTGCAACAATGGCATCCTATCACAGCACCACAATCGAATTCATTGAGCTCTTTAGAAACAACTCATTCTTTCAGAAATGTTTATAAAGGCAGACTGCATGGCTGGGTGCTTGATTTTATACACCTGTGGCAACGAGACTGGAAACACCCGAATACTTTTGTCCATATAGTAAACATACAAATAAAAATGTAAATTGTTTGAAATCTTATTAACAGAATCCTGGTAGACATTCATATAACTACACTGATATTAGAGAATAAAGCTATGATGATAGTTGCTGAATAGTTTTGAGGCCCAGTACTAAACATGACTGCATAACAAGGAAACTAGGCTGCTATGCCGTAACACTGACGCTACCCTGCAAAAACAGGTAGTCCCTAATAAGGGTGACCCACTGGCACTGTCCTATACCATTAAATACATTTTCATCTCCCTTGTTATTATTGCTAGGCCTAGTCATGTATTTCAGTATATTTACAGTGATTTTCACCATCTGTTGGAGCTGCCTTACTCTCCAACGTTTTGATGGTCAAAGGAGTAAAACCAAAGTTCTGTTGTTTTTTTTTTTTTTTTTTTGGTTTGTCAGTTTTGCCCAAGCCTTTTTTTAGGCAAATTGTTTGCAGGTGTGTCTGTGCTGTGTTTTGTTGTGTGTCTTTATGGATTTTTTTTTTATTGTCATGAGTATATAATAGAAGATACTTTCTTAAGGTTAATTGGGATGTTCAATATTTGTACACTGCACGTTTTGAAACCTAACCAGAAGAATACACTGGAAATTACCCTACATTCGGTTGCTGTTCACACAGCATTACATCAGGCAGAATGGACTGAAATTGCTTAGCCCCATCCTCTCCTTTTATCTGTCTCATTTTAGCCAGTGTTGAAACCATCCATCTCCATCCCCAACCTGACAAAATGGGAGTTCTACACAGCTGAGACTCTGTCCACTGGACCCTCATATGACTGGAGCATGCTGGCAGTGCCCTCAGAGAGCGCAGAAGAGCCAGACACAATCGCCACCAGCAAGAGGAGAATTGTCTGGCCCTGCTACAGTAGTGTTGCCCGTGCTGAGCCAGATGCCATCACCAAACTTTTGGCGGTAAGTTTGGTCTGCTTTGCTTCCCCTCCTGCTGGGACATGTAGTCCTCCCTATGATGAACCAACGCAAAATGTGTTCTGACTCAACGAATGTGTTTGCAGGACATCGAGAGATTGGAAGGGGAGCTGGGTCAGGCACCTGAGCGATGGCACACTACTCTGGAGAAAGTGCGAGCTAGTGTGCAGGAAGACCTCAAACAGGAAGGCAATGTAAGTCTGACCTCTCTTCATTCCTCTCTCTACTCAAGATCATGTCAGGCACACTAATGGGTAAGGTGGTGTAGTTGTAGACATTGCTGCAAAACACACAATGCAGGGTTTTAGGGCCCATAACTGAGTTTGTAGTTTCACAACCCTCCTAAATAAGCAGTTTTGACTTGCTGCTGTAGCTCCGGAAAGCAGTCGGTGTCCATCTCAGGCCTGATCCCAACCTCCGGCCTGCAGGCCTATCAGCGCCACTCCATGCTCCACCTGCCTGACAGCGGCCTGGGCGAGGACAGCAGCCCGACGGCTGCCAACGGGGTCAGCCGCAGAGCTGCCACTCTTTACAATCAGTTCACCCCCAAAAATGAGGAGAATAGGTAAGAGTTTCACACAGCTGCCATGTTATTTTACATCATGACATGTTTTAAGGCAGACAGTTCATTTTATTGTTCCTTCCCAGGTCGTTCGAAGGTGTCCTGTACAAGAGAGGCGCGTTACTGAAGGCCTGGAAGCGTAGATGGTTTGTTCTGGACATAACAAAGCATCAAGTGAGTGTTGGGATTTTCTGTACTTTGCAATATGTGTTTGCTGTTCGGGTGATGACTAGTGTTTTTGTTCAGTTGAGATACTACGACACGGATGAAGACGTCAGCTCCAGGGGCCACATAGACCTGGCCGAAGTTGAATCGGTTGTGATTGCCACACCAACCATCGGAGCCCCCAAAAACATCAGTGAGAAGGCTTTCTTTGATGTGAGTAGATCTGTTGCTCTACATACATGCATAATGTGTGGGGTAGCTGAGCTATTTAAGCAATAGAACATGAGAGGTTGTGCGTTATCGCGAAATAACATCAGCCACGATGTTATTCGCAATAACACGCTCCCTCTCGTGTTCTATCGCTTTTATACAACAGTTAAATAAATAAAGTAATAAATTAATAAACTGGGCCGTGAACGCGGCGTTTAATATGTTTTAATGTTCGCAGTTCCTTCCGCCCAATTATAGTTCCTTAACAAGCAGCTTATTGCTACGTCAGAGTAACAAACTCCGCCCACTCGCTGCACAGTCTGCTGTAGGCCTTGCCTTTTGAAGTACAGCCTGAGCCATAAAACTGCCACAATATCAAGTTTAGCTCAGTTTTGTCAGTTTTTGCCAGATCAATATTAATGTTGTTCTATTCAAGCCAGTCTGTAAAGCACCTTACAGCCCATTTAGTTTGGCGAATGGTATTTGGGTTCATTTCTGGCTGAGTCCAGGTTGTTTAGCTGTTTTGCCGACTGAAAAGCTGCTCAGTGGTGACGACAGTTTGGGAATTTAGTGTTGTCTCATCTTCAGAGTCTGACCAAATCGGCTGTCGGTCAAATGTGATCTTAAAAGTGTCCATTTTCTGTTTGTGGCAAAGTAAGAAGTAAAAACGTTCAAATGGCTCGAACGTCTCCTACAGCTGTCAAAGTCGTTGCTTAGCAACGGCGTCTCTGTGCAGGGATACAGTGTTTGTGAAAAACCGTGCTGTTATTTCACCATAACACTGTATCACTCTGCTGAGACTCCATTGCTAAGCAACGACTTTGACAGAACACTTCTCAACCAATCAGCTTGCGTGGCCGGAACTAACTGTTGTATAAAGCTATTTTGAGTAATTGGTTAAATATGCTGAAGACATTGTCAAAATGTGATGTGTTTTCATCCACCTGCCTTCTAAGGGATGAAACAAAGTTCATAACGAAAAATTGAATTTTAAATAGTGTATCAAAATCTAAAACGATTGCCAGTGCGCCCCTCTGGTTTCATCTTGGTCTCTTAATTACCATCTTTCATGGAACCCAGTGTCAACGGTTAAAACGAGGCATCTGGTGCATTCTATCAGAGTAAAGTCGGCAGGGAGGCCGAGAGGCTTATCTTATATACACATAAGATAATACATGTCACTGTTGTCGGAAGAAAACCTCATATCTCCAAAATGATAACTTTACAGGAGAAGGAAAAAACCTACTTTTAATGTAAGTCAATGGAACCAGACTTTTTTCCAAATTATTTTGGGTCGTTTCTTTTGGTCCATTCTTCATTAAATTTACACACAATATAAAGGGCAATAGGTATTTTCAAAATTGAAAACTGAAAAACAACAAAAATGGAGATACAAGGTTTTTGTCCGACAGCAGCCATATGCACACATGCATAGTGAACTGACTAAATAAATAATAAATTCCAAAGCGTGTGATTTTTGAATGTGGAAATATGTGCATCATTATGCACCCAGTTCACGTGCATGTAAGCTGTGCGCATGGTTCACACAGTAATACAGGGAGATTCACTTGAAAGAGGCCCCGAGTATTCTGTTGTAACTCCTGTTAGGATGAAGCAATCTGAACCGAAAAAAATCCGCTACATATCTCGACGCATGTGTCATTGATTACATGTGATACTGGAAGTGATCTTCGTTTTCTGCCAGACACATGAAGGGATCCAGGGGTATGCACCCGGAAGCTGCAAACGGAGGTTAAACGTGGCGACAGCTGTCCGGCGCCTACCTCATGGCTCCGACGCAGGGGGATCCCGGCTTGTTCAAAGCTCGATATACTGAGGAGCACATTGCACGTTGTTTCGTTCGAATTGCTTCGTCCTCGTGAGAGTTATTACAGAAAATTCGGGCGCCTCTTTCAAGTGAATCTCCCTGTATAATAACACTATTATGAACACTAAGCACATACTTACGCACTCCCTGTTTTCGCCTTATCGAACAATTTATCATTTCAAAACAAATTTGTGTATTGCTACAACTCTTGAACCTCCAGTCAAGTTTCTAACATATGCTTGCCATTAAAAGCTTAGTAAAACCCCAAATCTCTCTCTAGCTGAAGACCACCAAGAGGGTGTACAACTTTTGTGCAGAGAATGCTCAGAGCGCCCAGCAATGGATGGACAAGATCCAGAGCTGCATCTCAGACGCGTGAAGCTCACTCCCCTGAGAGGACTCTGTGACGGCCCGAGGACGGGGTCCTCACCTCTATACCATCTCCTTCCATGCAGGGAGACTCACTGTGCTTTAGTAGGACCATAGCAAAGCCCCCAGTGCCTGTTGAAGAGGAGTGTGATGAGTCTCTCTCTTGCTTTTCCACTATGAGTGCGCTCAGGCAGCAGAATCACTGCCTCTATGGAACTGTGCTTATTCACATTTAGATGGATCTGTTTTACCCATCTGGCAGTTTCCACTCAACTACTCCTGACCTTTGCATCAGGAGAGCTGATCAGATTTTTACATTCAGTGGAGACAAAGCAATAGCACTAGCTGTAAAAAAAAAAAAAAAAAAACTCTGGGTTCAAAATAAAATTAAGTACAAGTAGACTCAACGTAAGAATATATTTCTGATAAGAAACAAGGTATTGCTGCTTATAAGATGCAAAAGAACCGCCAAAAAACTGTTGAATATTTTTAAAACATGCACAATATAACGAGGCAGTTTATTTGCACTTAATTCTACGATATGCACTCCATAAATATATAGATTTTCTAACAGATAAAAACAGCAAAGGCAAAAGGCATTACTTTATGTACAAAAAACATGTCTATACAAGCATATACTCTAGAAAAAAGTACTTTGCACACTAAAGCATAAATATTTCCTGACATTTTCTATTTAAGTCATTGATGTCATTGTTTTTTAATACATGAATGTCTGCTCATTGATAACAGGTTGTTTTTTTTTGTGATGTAAATTATTTTTTTATCATTAAAAAAGTAACTGGTGTTTGTTTATGGATGGTAATTTTATGTTCTCTGTAAATAGCTGTGACATTTCAAGCTCTGTTTTATACTTTGGTGAATATGCTGTGGGGTTTGATTTTTCTAACCTTTTAACTGAACTGAAAGCAACATACAGTTTTACATATGATACTGTCACGCATACTGACCAAGTAAAGCGCTTCCTCTGTATGACTTGGCCATGAACCTTTGTGTTCAGCATGAAGGGAAGTACACTACGTTTTGACTGTTATCGCCAAGGATCTCGGGATGTGTTGAAGGGCTCTCGTCTGGATCTGTGGGACACTACATGCTTTAGTTTTCAATACTGTTTAGCCCTCTATACGTGTGTGTGTGTACGTGTACAGTTTGAAGAAACAAAGCTGAAGAAAACTCAACCCGACTAGAGAGATGTCTGTTACTGTACCTGAAAAAGATGTTACTGTACCCTTGTACCATGTTCGTGGTGCCACTAATGTTTTTTATTTGAAATAAATCAGAGTACTTGAACATGTCTGACTTAAGCAAAATTGTTTTTCATGACCTGCACTTAATAATCGTCTGGGGACTAAAGACACAATTTGAGTTTAGGGGTCTGTGCCAGTTCTTCCACACCATACTCTGCAAATAAATTCTTTATGAATCTTGTGACCACACCATTATTCCTCCATCAGCACACTATACAATTAGCACTTTGCATTCGGGCAGTCATTTATGGATGTCTCTTCCTGCCATCTGCCAAACCCAGATTCATCTGTCAGTCTGTCCACAAGAAGATGAAGTGTGATTAATCACTCCAGCCAATGTGTTTCACCAGCGCCAGGGTGATTTACTCCACCCAATGCCTGAAATTGCTCAGAGCTAGAGTGCATTTAAGGTCACTGTCACTGCATTTCATCACTCGCCAGTCTCATTCTGTAAGCTTGTTTGGCTTCGTGACTGAGCTGTTGTTGCTCCTAGACATTGCCAGTTCACAGTAACAGCACTTACAGTTGAAGAGGGCAGCTCTAGCAGAAGAAGTCTGACAAAGAAACTTGTTAGAAAAGTGGCATCCTATGGCAGTGCCATGTTGAAAGTTACTGAGCACTTCAGTACACCCCCTATTCTACTGTCAGTCTTTATCTATGGCGATTGCATGACTGCATGCCTGATTTTATGCACCAGCAAGCAAGTGGATGTGGCTGAAATGGCCAAAACTACTAATTAAAAGGACACAATTTTGGCTATGTCCAAGTTAACAGTCATTTAGTGATGGGGTCTTTGAATCATCTGCTGTGTTTTTAATGTACACTAGAAACCAGATCACCAGAAATCCTCCCTCAAAAGCTTTTTGAACATTGCTACTCTCATCTGTATCACTAAGGCCACTTTGGTACTATAAACATTCCCATGCAGTGATAAGACAAGTATATATTTTATGCAAGACATGTCAAATGGGCCTAGTCACTGATGCTCCTCCTTTGTTGACAATAAGCAATAACCCTCCTTAACCCTTTGTAATTAATTATGCATGACCACCAAACCATTCCCAAGGTCAACTTGCTCTGAAAAGCATTTTATACTGCTTTGATTTATGATGCTGCTACTGTTGTGTTGACTTCTCACAGAAAAATCCACTTTTTTTCATTCAGTTGACCTCACATTATGTTATGCTGCACAGAGAGTTATTTGACCATCGCAAAGGTGAAAAGTGAAGGTATGGAGTGTTCCATAGATATCTCCAATATAAGAAACAGAATCATTTATTTACCATGTTTTCACATACAAGATATTTATGGTGAGTGCTCACACAAAAACAAAATATATTTTAATTAAAATGCACAGATCAGCTATAGCATTAAAACAGCCGCCTTGTTTCTACGCTCATTGTCCATTTTATCAGCTCCACTTACTATATAGGTGCACTTTGTAGTTCTACAGTTACAGACTGTAGTCCATCTGTTTCTCTGCATACTTTGTTAGCCCCCTTTTACCATGTTCTTCAGTGGTCAGGACCCCCATGGACCCTCACAGAGCAGGTACTATTTGGGTGGTGGATCATTCTCAGCACTGCAGTAATACTGACATGGTGGTGGTGTGTTAGTGTGTGTTGCACTGGTACAAGTGGATCAGACACAGCAGTGCTGCTGGAGTTTTTAAACACCTTAGTGTCACTGCTGGACTGAGAATGGTTTGAACAAATAATGCAGAGAAACAGATGGACTACAGTCTGTAATTGTAGAACAACAAGGTGCTTTTATATGGTAAGTGGAGCTGATAAAATGGACAATGGCCCTCATTCTTCCTAAGTTTTTAGTCATATGTGTTTTTGAGAAAGGTCCTAAGATAAAAAAAAGTCTACGTCAGATTCATGACGTGTTCTTAAAGCACATAACTGTTCTCACCTTTGTGCTCTGGAGTGTGTGTAGATTCTGTTCTTACATAAGAACAAACCCCAAATAGGAAAACACTGTCAGAATCTTTGTGAAAACTGCCCAAGTGTGTTTTAATTAGAAATTTCTTCTTAAGATCGGTTGGTAACTGAGGCCCAGTGAGTGTAGAAACAAGGTGTTTTTAATGTTAAGACTGATCAGTGATAAACAATATGTATGTAGGGTTATTCTCTGGTTAAGGTGGGAATGTGACCCGGATGTTACTGAGGTTTGAATACAAAATATGCCTTCACTTGTTTTGTGTAAGTGCGCTAAATGATGTGCTTTTTAAAATATTTGTGTGACTTTATGTCTAGTCCAAGTATGCAAAATGGGCTCTCCCACATCCAAAGTATTTTTAAAGCATAACACTGAGTGTGTTTACATGTGCTCAATAATCTGATCATAATCGGATTCCTGGAGTTATCTGAGTATTCAAATGGTCATGTAAACAGCACACTCTGACTTCTTACAGCAGAGTAAGGTCTAGAAATCCGATCAAGAAATCCGAGGCTGGATTTTAGCTCAGTAATCAGATTTCTCAGTGCATGGAAACTCTTACTCGGATTTCTTTCAGATTTCTCAGTCTGTGCATGTGTGAAAACAGACGGTGGTACCGGAAATAAGCAAGCAGCGTCGCCGCGAGACGCAGCAGAACACTTTCGGAGCGACACTGAAACCAAATACATGCTTGACGAAATTAAAGCTTTAAATGTTCTTCATCTTCTAGATGATGTACGTTCATATTTTCAGCTAAAGTGGCGCGATGTTTAAAAAAAAAGCTGTGGCATTAAGTTTGAGTTTTACATTATGTTTACATCTCATCGTCTTCTGTGAGTTTATTGGCTGGTTGCAAAGCAGAAATCTGATTACTGTCTGACTCATGTAGACCTGGAGTTTCCCCTTTATCTGATTACTCAAGTGCATATAAACGTGTTGATCAGATTACTGACAAAATGTGATTTTCTGCAGTTATCAGATTATTAAGTGCAAGTAAACACACTCAATGTTTTCATTTCAGGGTCAAGAGCATGATATTATTAGCAATAGGTTTTTTTTTCATAATACATAATGATGTTTTCATAAACATTGTAAAAAACATTACATTTTTATTAGGAATATTGTTTTTGTCACTAGTGTTTTTAGAACACTTTAATACATATTTGCTCATATTACATTTAACTACTTTTTGGGTCATGATGTGAGCAGAGAAGAGCCAAAGCTTTGAATGTCAACTTGATAAATTCTCCTCATTTTTCATAAATGTATGTGTTGTTTTGCACTTCAGACTGCAATAACTTCTATCTGTCACTGGTCTAAAACCACAGTATACTGCTTCAAAACAGTTTCATAAAACTACTTAAACATTTTTAAGCAAGATTACTTTTACTGTATGTGACAACCATTTTCCTGTTTTGAAGTGTCACTGGTATCACCATTATTGCAGTAAAAAAATCTTTTTCAAGCTTTTTCAAATCTATATTGATGTTTTTTTTATACTCTCCAATAATTTGATTATTTCAATTACAGAATGAGATGATAATCCTGAAGTTACCCTATGAAAGCATTTGTTGCGTGGCTTTTAAAGGAGAAATATATAAGATAACACAAACTGTTGAATTCATCCTCCACACTCCAAATGGGGCACCAGAGAGTTATGGTGGACTATGTGAGAAACAAGAAAATGCAGTCATTCCTCCTCCCTTTCGCCATCACATCTAAAGTTAGCATTAACAACTGTTTACCAATAAGTTTGGAAGGAACGCTGCAAATTCAAATTCACACTTCATCCTTTTATTACCCATGAGCCATCTCCAGCGCTGGAGAGCAATGCTAATGGTAACACTTGTTTTGCTTCTATTTATGTCACTTATTTTCTCTGCTGCCGAAAGTGGTTTCTTGCCAGGAGCGGGCAGGGGTGGTAATAATGGTCGCTTGCCAAGAGCTTCGGCCATAACTGCGTATACTCGCCACACTGACTCAATATCGCCTCTTCAGGAATAAAGTGGTATTACGAGACAGGACGGGCCTGGGCTAGCTGGTTAGATTGCTAACATTAGTAGATATCTCTTCAACACGACACATAGATGCCTTTGACGCAACATCAAAACTGTTATTATCTTCACACTCTTTTTAATTTTAGTTAATTTTGGAATGTTTTAAACTAAAAATCTTACAAATTGCACCTTTTAATTGAACAATGACTATTAATTAATTAATCGCTATACATCTTTCAGCTCAGTGTATTCATATGACATGTTTTAATAACAGATATTCCATTTTTGGGCAAGTTAACAACTTCCAGTGTAATAACACAACTGACATACATGCTGGAATCCTGGGGCCGTATTACAGAAAATTCTTAAGTCTGAGATCATATCTGATCTGCTTTGTTGCCATGGCAACTTCAATTAAGGGTGAATTTAGGACAGAAGCCATTACAGAACAACAGTTCTTAGGTCTATAATAGTATCTTATTTCCAGATAAGAAAAAGGTTTTACAGAAACATCCTAAGTTGCCAAAATATCCTAAATATTTTCTTAACTTTAAGATAAACCCAGAGCATCTTAACTTTCTGTTTGTTTCTATTGTTTTATGCAGTGACTGGCAGCTCAGTTCAGTATAACCAGCATAATGACGCTACATTTATCTACACTGAAAATGGTGCTTTGATGATCTCAAAAACTCGTCAGATAAAATATTACAGTGAAGGTGGTGAATAATGAGGAGACGGAGCTGAACGTGTGTCTGTTTATTAGGAGGAATAATGTTAGCGCGCTCGGCTAAAGCGTTTGGGAAATGGAGACTGAAACTGTGAAACGGCGACGCTCTGATAAACAGTAGGGGGCACTGAAACAACTTTATTAACTTTCAGTTTATAGCGCTTTAGTTTTATTAGACTTTCTTTACACCACTAACGGCAGCTAATGTAGCTGTCTAACTAACTTGATTACGTGTTTACATTTCAGCTGTGCACGTAGGGTCGGTTGCTAGGTAACAGACACGACTGTTGATTGTCGACTTCAATCAAGAAAGTTAAGATTTCCTAACTTGAGATAAGAAAATATGCGGTAAGATGATAAGATTCTTAAATTAAGATAA